AACTCTATTCTTCCCGTTCCACAGGTGGCATCACCCAAAACTTTTAATCCTCAAACTTTTAATTTAATGACAATCATAAAATATAATTCATCTACTTTTCAGAGGATATATATATATATATATTTGATCCATTGAAACACTTGAGTTGAGTATAGTAGATAGTATATATAGTAGAATATATAGGGGAAAATAATCCTCAGTACTTGTGTAGTATTTTTATTATTCATATCACGTTTTAAGATAATAATGAAATTGTTTTATAGCATAAATGTGTGATTCATACATAATTCTTTTAGGAATTCTTTTAGGGCAATGTATATTCCTTGTTTCCGTCATATTAAAATCTAAGAAATAAGAATGGAAATGATCTATTATTATTATTATTATTATTATTATTATTATTATTATTATTATTTTATTTTTTCCTACCACTAGATAAAGAAATGAAAAATAGGTATGGAAGTCACAGGAGGGGAATTTCTAGGGCATCAATGCCGTTTTAATAAAGACCCTCGAGACTCGTTGCGACGCTCATATCAAGCATTCTTTGAAGTCCGAGCATTCTCTTGTGGTAATAGATAACGCCTTTGAGGTTGAGATGAATCTATCATTTAGTTGTTATTTAATTATTAAAATTGTCAATTAATTCTCGGTATTTACTCATTAGTAAGTGTTACTGATAATTAATTGTTTTTTATAAATAAATCTGTTGTTTAAATACCTAATACTTATTTTAGACAAATAAATGGTTTCAATCTATTTATTTTAATTAAATAGTTATTTGTTTATAGTTAAAAAATCTTTCTTTAATACTTTAAAATCATATATTTCAGTAAAATCACATTTTTTAACTATAAAATGTGATATTTTAATTTTGGAAAAGAAATCATGCTTTGTAATATAGTAAATAATATCTGAGATATTTTTAGGGTCATCAAAGCAATCAGGATCACTTTATTTATATAATTTCTATTAGGGTAATTTATAATAAACTAAAATAATTAGCTAAGAGTTGGATTTTTATAGTTTTTTTCCATTATTAAATTCATTTTAAATTTATCTATGTATATTAAATTAGTGAATTATGTTAGGCTTTGGATAAAGACATTAAAATTAGGATAACTCAAATAGCAAAAGTACCCACTCAAACGTCTTATGATTTATTTCAAAGGAAATTTGTTAACTATTAAAAAATCTTATTTTAATTAAATAAACAGGCGAATTTGTTTAATATATCTGACATATTTTAGAGATCTGCACTGCAATTTTGGTTACTATCAGGGCAGTAATCGACAATCGAAGCTACTGTCAATAATAATGGCTGTTACTGTTACCGACAGTAAGCCGATATTTTAGGTATTTACCCTAACATCCAAAGTTGCAGTGCATAAGTTGTTATCCAGTTGCAGAAGTTGCAGATCTAAATTTTTCAAATGTTGCTGTTAGATTGACGCCAATTAGTATGACGCTTGATTTTTTTAATTAATAGAAGAGACTTAATATTCGTAGCCTCATTAGATAATTATTTAGCTGCATTGACATAAACTTTGCTCAATTATCTAGAAGATAATCCGTAAATTTCATGAAAAGAAGATCTAGATATTTTTAATATCAATATATAAAATACGGATGAACGGTTCCTTACTGTAAGAATAATTTATGAATAAATTATATCACTATTAAATAGTCTTTTAATTATAAATAGTCTATTTATAACTGAGATATCATTATTCGGCTATCAAGTAAGATTACAATGTAAAGTAAATCTGTGACTAATAAAAAGTGTCGTAAGTATATATTCTAGCGGAACAAAAAAGCGAGTGATATGTATCGATAATGACTATGAGATTAATCATTTTTCATTACATCAAACATTAATTATGCATGAAAAACCCACGTGGTATCATTAGTTTACTGAAAAAATAAAATATTAACAATCTGGTGGCGTAAAGGTTTAATTTTCTGTCAGGGGCAAAGATTGTCACACTGTACTAAGGATAGTAACTAAAGTAAATTCATTTTTTTTCAGTCAATAATGTATCTGAGCTTTTTATTTAGCATAACATTTCAAGTTATGTTATGTCTCAATAAAGTTATGTAAGTATTATTAAAATCAGTCTGCTTAGGGCATTAAAAATCCACTTAGTTCCCTTAGTTGCTTAAATTAACCCCACACGAGTGCAAACACTTACCCTCAGTACGGGAAAAGTGTAAGCATTTAGAATCATTCGGATTAATCCGTTTTTTTTCCGAAGTGTTAAAGTTTTAGACTTTATTTATTAATTTAATTATTACCTACATAAATACTCTATCAGAGACATATTTTTATTTTCCTTTCAAGCTTATCGTTTAATTTAGACACTAGTTTTAATGCTTAAGTGCGCACACTTGCCCCACATCACTCTATTATTGTATCCAACAACCATAAAACTGTGTGCTGTTTTATTATAAAATTCCACAGGTTTTCAAAAGTATTATATTGTTAATTATTAAAACTGCAATATAATTTTGCCAAAAAATATTTTAGCGCTAATCAATAATTACAATGTTTCGACGATAGTGATTTGCAAAATTACTATAACATTTTACGATAAAATTTCACTGTCTTCCCCAGAACTGTGGATCAGTTAGATTATTACCTAAATGAATACTCTTATGAATACACTTGCCCTACATAACCCTATAAAAAAAATCTACCTCTCCGCAAATTAAAGTTAAGGTGCGCGCGCAAGCGCTCACCTTAATATAGATTTTGCATATACTTTCATGCTTATGATACATTCGACCAATTAATTAGCTTCACATTCATTTAACCTCAATATCATATTAAGATATCAAATCTTACAATTCCTTTATAATTTCAAAAGCTATATACTTCAAATTCCATTCACCAATCGTTCAATAATAATACATTTTTAGTAAACCATCTGTTTAGTAACTAAATTCACTCTTATCAGAATCACACAATAACTTCCGAAACATTATCATAAAAGTCATGAACTACTATTGTGTTACAACTAAATATAGCCCGTATCTAAACCAGCTCGATGTCATCTTGACATTGAATTCACTGTGACATCACCGACTATCCAAATAACCTTAACATTGAATTTACCATCGACTCTACAGCTGAATGTTTGCTAAGTCCATAAATTTCCAGATCGCGACTATTACTGTTAAGATCATGCGATTTCCTATACAAAATGTACTGAGCGCCCACTAGGGCTCATCTCGATGTCGAAATTTAGAAATTGGAACCCAAAAAAATTGATAATTAAAAAAAAAATTGTTTTCACCCGCAAAACATTCCGTAAACTCAAGGCCTTTATTGTTCTCTACTTATAGTGAAGTAGTGTCATTTGGAACCAAAACTAAACTAGTTTATTTGGGCTTTCATCAACTCAAAACTTTTATTTCTATTAACTAAACTCTTATGGCATATTTCGAAAGGAGTTTTACTAATTAAACGTCCAAAATTTTGCGAATTTGCATTTTATTATTCAAAAAACATCATACTCAATTTGAATTGTTTTGTAATCTCATTGGTATCTACATCAAAAATATTGAAACAGTTTATAGTTAAAAGTGCTACATAATACGGAAAATGTAACTAATGAGTGATAAAATCAGCGATACACATGATTCTTAAAACTGACGATAAAATTTATTTATAGTGCGCAAAATAAATTAGTTTTTCCTGTTAATCATTAACTAATCCAGTAGACCATAACTTCCATCAATTATATTGTAACAGTTGAACAGTTTTAAAAGTTATAATTGGGTTTTCTATTTGCTATTAAACAACTTTGTCCAATAATCAGTACACTGATAATAAATGATATAATTTTTGGTCCGTTAAAAATTAACAATGACTAATTAGTGTTTTTGTTATTCATGAAGACCTATAAGGGTGCCCGCTCCCTGAAGTGACAAGATACATTCTTTAAAAATGTATGGCTATGTTTTGACCATAAAAAGCTTTCTATTGCGCATCAAAAAGTCTATTCTGAAAACAGACACAATATGACGATGATTAACCTAATTTTTATTATATATAATTAGTATACTAATTTGTAAAATGCTTTTACATGACTCAATGTTTTGGCAAGAAACTCGAGTAACTTCCGTTTCAATCAAGCTCGTTAATTACAATGAAAGGTTTCGAGTAAACTTTTTTTATTTTTATCCAGACGTATTTTTAAAGCAATCCGCGCAGTCTAATTAATAACACGGTAATTAACATATTAATAGTAAATTAGTCTATCTTAATTTTACAATATTAAACATGGTTGCAAGCTATTCTAATTTTGTATCACGGCGGTGCCATTTTTTTGGTTCACCGGCATAGTACATGCAGTTTTTAGTATAATAAGTATATAGATATGACACATAAGATACAAATTTAGAACCATGTGTAGATTAGAATGTGCCAAAATGTAACTTTTGTGGAGAACCTTTTAAAATTAGAATTTTGATTTCCGCTTTTAACAGGAGCTGTGTTTGGGCATTTCCGCTGAAAATTCAAAATTTTGCCGGAAGTTCCCAATTAAATCTCCTGTTAAAAATTCTATGAACATCAAATAAGTCCTCTCACCCCAAAAAATCTCAGGGAATGCCCAACACACAGCTGCTGTTAAAAGCGCAACTTAAAATTCCAATTTTAAAAGGTTCTCCACGAAAGGTACATTTTGGCATACCCTAGTGTAGATACAAATTGAGAATCACTATTTTTATTGTGTACCAAAGAATGAATACGCAAGAACTTACTCACTATACTAACTGTTAACAAACTATAGTATCGTTCTAAAAATATAATTAGCCCTTCACCGATACTCAGTATTGTGATGATTCAGATATTACTACCATACTTACAGAGAAAAATTGACTTCTGTGAAACAAGGAAAATCTAATTAAATACACGGAAAAAAGTGCAGTTATTTTTACCGCATTTTTTTTTCGTGTAGTATCACCACTATTTAATTAACTATTTTTAGTTAAATATGGGCTTAATAGTAATCTTGATTAACTTTAACACAGAAAACAGAAAAAATAATTCGGACAACCCCGGCCGGGAATCGAACCCGGTTTCTTTTGGTTGCGCACTAAGGGCGCTTCCAGTTAAGCTATCTGAGACAACGTCCATAACAACCTTTCAGTCTAATAATTTTTTGTTTAACACGATAGAAAAACACTTATTAGAATATAGTCGATATAATTATTTATCAATACTTAAACTAATGCATAGAGTAACTTAAAAAAAAAGTTTCGAAAACTGTATTTTTATACTTTAAACGTTATAATTCATCTAACTATCCACTTTTATCTCAGCGCATACTTTTCTTCACAATTCCATCATGATTCTCTTCAAATAATATGAATTCTAACATTAAGCGACTTACATTCAATTATATCTTAAACAAAGTCCTGAAAGAACAGACATTTGTCTGAAAACTAAACTATATTTCCTAACTTGGTCAATTAAAGCCTTACCTTCCACTTCACCGTCTAAAGATCTAGCCTTTTTCGCAACACTTTTAAGCTACCCAGTAAGACCTTATTAATAAACTTATACTCTTCCAAACTAAAAAACTGAAGGGATACTTGACTTTTGACACTTAAAACAGCGTTAAGCACTGAAACTTCCTTAGTCTCTATCAACTGGTCCAAACAAATGTTCAGCACACAGATAGACACTGCCCTTTCAAAACAGCCTATACTATGGACCACAATAGGGCCAGAGGCACTTTTCTTGCTATTCGCTCCACGATTTCCGTTCACCATCTCCAAGAAGGATATCAGCTGCGCAGATCCGCTTGAAGGAAATTCATCCAGAAAGTGATACTGCAAGTGCGTTATTGTCCTTGATTTTTTTTCCATTATATTCTTTATCGTAATTTGCAATTGTGTGTAATACTTGCAAGAGATACTTGCCGTTTTCTTCCTAATAAGGAATTCACCAACGGCATATGCGTTATCTTGAGAATTGTTCAGCCAATTATGCGTCTTTGATGTCGCGTCCAATCTAACGATCACTTTGTAACACTTTTCCCATATGAAGCTCCAAAAATTGTAGGAATCAACTTCTGGTCCAGAATTTTTGACTATCACAAACTTCCTTTTGACGTTGAACCCGTCGACGTGATAAGTGGAGAACATATCGAACCCAATGTTCCCAACAATTGATTCACGGTCCCATTTTCCCGCCTTTTTTCCCAATTGGTGTTTGTTAACTAACGAATGTTCATTTTTGGTTATTTGCTCAAAATTCAGGCGGTCTCTTCGATTTTGAAACTCTTGGATGCTTTCAGTCTTCATTTTTTCAAAAAATAATTGATTGTTATCACCTTATCACTTATCACGATCACTGACAGTATTAGAATGAACGCCGACGACAACATAGTCTGTTTATAAAGCTGCTACGTCGTATTTACATTCACACGAAATAACATTTTTAATAAATTACGACAGCTTTCTGCGATGTTAGTTTCATGGAACGATTGACCGGCCAATTTCCAACGAAAAGTATACCATTACACGACATGTTTTAGATGAATTTATGGACCATTATATTGTATAGTTTTATGAACAGATATTTAAAAAGAAATTTTAATGAAAACAATTTTTGAATGGTGTTAAGAATGAAATTAAGGTGATTAACAATTGAATTTGTTTATTATCGCTTAAGAAGGCAAGTGATTAATATCAATAGTAAATATGGAAAAAGTGATGAAAATATCTTTATATTTTGCATACTATTGTTTAGATTTTTCATTTTTTTTTTTTATTTTTAATTTGTTTAAGTCACATAAACTACTAAGGTCATGAGCGACTACGGTAGGGGGTAAACTTTTGAGATTGGAACTCGTTTGTATTTCTTGGGCTGAGCAGAATAATACACTTAAATATTGAAAATATTCATTGTAATTTTTCATTGTAATTTGGTGGAAATATTTTAATGCGTACGTAGTTTAAAAACTCTCTAAAGTTGCTGTCTCCGGACAAGATCTCCCGTTAGATTTAATAACATAAATTGAGTCACATTTTTCTTACGTGACCTACCTCAGGATAGGCGTTTGTTGATAAATAACATCGTACTCGTGATTAGCACGTTAGACAGTACGTCGGCACTAATTACGTGTGCTAAAATTACGTTAGACTGTGACGACACGTAGATAAAATAATATTCAATTAACGCCAAGCGTCTTTATTTATTGATAACGCAGTTTACTTATTTGCGACAAAAATATGGTTTTAGTCTATTTATTTTAATTAAATAGTTATTTGTTTATAGTTAAAAAATCTTTCTTTAATACTTTACAATCATATATTTCAGTAAAAACACATTTTTTTACTATAAAATGCGATATTTTAATATTGGTAAAGAAATCATGCTTTGTAATACAGTAAATAATATCTGAGATATTTTTAGGGTCATCAAAGCAATGAGGATCACTTTATTTATATAATTTCTATTAGGGTGATTTATAATAAACTAAAATAATTAGCTAAGAGTTGGATTTTTATAGTTTTTTTCCATTATTAAATTCATTTTAAATTTATCTATGTATATTAAATTAGTGAATTATGTCAAGCGAGGATAAAGGCATTAAAATTAGGATAACTCAAATAGCAAAAGTACCCACTCAAACGTCTTATGATTTATTTCAAAGGAGATTTGTTAACTATTAAAAAATGTTATTTTAATTAAATAAACAGGCGGATTAAATGAAATAAACCAAAACAAAATAGATTTGGTTAAAAGTAACCCATATTTAAATAAACCAAATTTTTTAATATAAAATCCGTATTTTTAAGTTATTTTAACTAAATCTACAGCTTAATACCTTTTTTTCCCCGTTAGTTACCGGAAAAACTCGCTATTTAATGAGATTATTCAATTTATCCAACAAAAATACTTCAATAATAACCCAAAATGGGAAATTTTGTTTGACATCAAGTTGATTAGTGTTATCGGGAGGAAAATCGATCTTTATAGTCTGTGCAGTCGTTAATTATAGCCTGAAACCTGATAATATTAGATTATGAACCTCAAACCACTCCATTACTATAAAAACAATCGTTAGTGCAACATAATCATTAGTTGCGATCACAATTCTGCTGAAATTTCAATCTAACTCCAATGGCTGCCATTTTTTCCACATTTTTCAAAGTTGGTGACTATTTGCGTCGATCAGCGGACCCAATATACTCTGAGATGATCTATCAAGAGCATTACACCATCGTTAACCTACCAATTGTCGACACGTGCGTTAACTTTTTCCTTCCCTGCAACAAGAACAAGAACCGATGTGCGGACTATCCATGTTGGGACACTTCTAGGGTGGTCCTTAAATCCAACAACAGCTTGGATTACATCAACGCCAATTATGTCTCTGGATTTGACATGAGTGCCAAATTTATAGCAACGCAAGAGCCAATGCCCGGAACTTTCAATGATTTTTGGAAAATGATCTGGCAGGAGAACTCTCGGGTAATTGTGATGTTAAACGGCACCAAGCAACAATCAGAACCAAGGAACCTCCAGTATTTCGCGGCCACTCAAGATAACACACTGATTAAGGAGTTTATCATCAAGGAAGAACGCGTTAAGCTTAATTCCTACTACACCAAAACAACATTGAAGGTAACTCACTTAGAAACTGGAGAAGTAAGGGTCATCCACCATTTTAAGTACTTAAACTGGCCAGAAAATGAAGCTCCGGACATTAAAGAGGTCATTGACTTCTTGTTAGCCGTCAATAGAAAGGACCAAGCTTATTTCAGAAAAGTGTTGAAGACTAACCAAGTTCTGCCGGGGCCAATTGTCGTTCATGGGGAGAAAGGTGTTGGAAGAACTGCTGCCTATTGTGTTGCAGACATATGCTTGTACCAGATAGCACACACTGCGAGTATATCAGTGCCTTCAACGGTGGTAAAAGTGAGACAGCAGAGGAGATTTAGTATGCAAACTGCTAATCACTATATTTTTGTTAATAATCTTGTGCTTTATTTTTTGGTTACTTTGAGGTCGAATATTGAAACCTACCTGGAATTACGCTCACATATTAATAAAAGTGACGTGGATTTGTTGTTCAGATCTTGATGTAAGTTTGGAAATTAAAAGGATTTATAGTTGTCTAGTGGTGTTTTATTTTATAGTTTTATTTAGGGATGAATATGTATTAAGATTGTACAGTCTTTGGGTTTTTTATTTTATTAATTGCAATTAAACGACACTGAGTTACATAGCCATCCGCGGTAGGGGGCCTGCAATTCCTTCAAAGAATTAAAAAAAAAACATTTCACTGAATTAATGGATTTTTTGGCAAGCTACAGTGTTTACAAAGTTCATACCCGTTTGACAGACGGGAAAATTTTTTAAACTATTTTGATGTTTTTTTCCGTTTCTATTGCACTAAATAAATTTTTTAAAAGTATGCAATTAATCTCCATTAAATAATCGAGACAATAGTATGCTAAATATCTTGATTCCGTTAACTAACAAGGGTATAATAATAAAAATAGTTGCCGAAATATGGGGCGAAAAAAATTTGTTCGATCGTAAACCACTCTCTGATGCTTCTTATCATCGGTCGTCCAAAATACCAACAACATTTTTTTTTTTAAATATCAGGTTAGAATTTTTCTAAACTCTCAGTTACCAAAGGAGTTAATCATGTGGTAAATCCGAAAGAAGCCGAAGAAACCCGAGATAAAATTTGTTAGAAGGACTCGCACGTAGTTCGTGGAAACACTCAAATTTTAACTAAATTTCTACATTGTTTTAGATAATTGAACTTTCAATTTTCGTTTAGAAAAGTTTCGAAACTAACAAGAGTATTATTATAAAAATAGTCACCGAAATGGGGCAAAAAAAAATTTTTCGATCATAAAGCACTCTCTGATGCTTCGCATCACGAGCCGTGCAATATTTAACAATAGAGTATTTAAGTGTTACATAATCGCTTAATTCCTACCGAGAACATATTCGCCAATACAAGCTTATCGAAATTCAATTTAATTAATTTTTATCATCATTAAACAGGACGTTGTTGATAACCTAAACAATGTAGGTGGTCTTTTGTTTAAAGACAAGCGTGAGAACTCTCAAGGTACCGCAAAATAATAACATATTTTCGGTAAATTATGCCATTAATATGCAGTCTACTAAAGACTCCTAAATAAGCGTTTTTATCACAAGAAAAAATTCCGTCAAGCTGTCAACCTTCTCTATCTAACGCGCAATTAGTAGATTATTGTCCAGGTCAAGACCTGCCTATCCCAAGGCAATTAGCTTTATTTTTCGTAATGTATTACAACATATTTCGTTGCTATTGAACTTCTCCTTGTAAACATTATAGTTGTTATCTTAGAATTGTGGCGAACATTACTTGAAAATAATACCTAAAACAATTCTATCTTGCTTTTAAACAAAAGGTCGAGTAGATAATTATGTTTTGCTGCCCCTAAGATTAAGATTTATCTATAATGGCTTGTACACAGGGAAAAATTTCTGGGAAAATTTACGATACAACTATTGTAAAGCTGGACTATACCTTTATTACTATTAATTATCAAATATTTTAGAAGAAAAAATACTATTTATTAATGAAAAAATACGATATTACTATTGTAAAAAGTAAGAGATGAAAATTTCCAGTGCTGCCTCTGTATCTTTCCAATAGAACTATAGCAAATTTTACAATAGTTGAATTGGAATATCTCTCAATTAGTGTGAGTGATGGCCGTGCACAGCGCTAGACTCTGAGTTTATATAAATGTTAAAGAACATGGGTCTTAGTTTACCTCGGATAGCCTAGAGGGAGAGTCTCTGGCTGCCAAAACAGAGTTCTGGGTTCGATTCCCAGATAGCACGAAAAGATTTGTTTCTTTTTTCGATTACTGTACAGGTACCAATTAGCCCAACCTTCTATCTCTCTTCCTCCCTAATATTTCTTTTAAAAAAAACCAACTGTGAATTTTTACAACAGTTGAATTGTAAAATTCACTAACACATATTGTATAATTTGCTCTATAATATTCGACTTTTTAAAACTCTTGCTAGTCTTATTTGTTGGATAAAATTTACAATAGTAGATCGTAAAAATTATTAAATGAGAAGTATAGTCCACCGTTACTATTTTATTTAGTAAAAATTACAATAGTAAAATAGTAATAACTCCTTCAATTTTCTTCCCGTGTATAACGACTTGTTTAATGGGCCTAAGAGATGTATTGCTAACTGTAATGTTCGAGCCAGATAAGCTCTCTTCATAATTTATCTACAGTAAAGTATTTCGAAAAATACTTAGTTTTTTTCGAAAATAGGCTCGACATTACAGAGTCACGTGGGGTAACTGCTTAGCGAGTAAGTGTGCGCAATCCCTTTATTTATGAATGTAGAGGGGGAAGTTTGTGAAATGTGTAGGCAAATTAAAGGTTTGAAGGTGGAAAATTAGCTTATGCAAGAAAAACCCACGTGGTGTCATTAGTTTATTGAAAAAATAAAATATTAACAATCTGGTGGCGTAAAGGTTTAATTTTCTGTCAGGGGCAAAGATTATCACACTGTACTAAGGATAGTAACTAAAGTAAATTCATTTTTTTTTCAGTCAATAATGTATCTGAGCTTTTTATTTAGCATAACATTCCAAGTTATGTTATGTCTCAATAAAGTTATGTAAGTATTATTAAAATCAGTCTGCTTAGGGCATTAAAAATCCACTTAGTTCCCTTAGTTGCTTAAATTAACCCCACACGAGTGCAAACACTTACCCTCAGTACGGGGAAAGTGTAAGCATTTAGAATCATTCGGATTAATCCGTTTTTTTTCCGAAGTGTTAAAGTTTTAGACTTTATTTATTAATTTAATTATTACCTCCATAAATACTCTATCAGAGACATATTTTTATTTTCCTTTCATGCTTATCGTTTAATTTAGACACTAGTTTTAATGCTTAAGTGCGCACACTTGCCCCACATCACTCTATTATTGTATCCATCAACCATAAAACTGTGTGCTGTTTTATTATAAAATTCCACAGGTTTTCAAAAGTATTATATTGTTAATTATTAAAACTGCAATATAATTTTGCCAAAAAATATTTTAGCGCTAATCAATAATTACAATGTTTCGACGATAGTGATTTGCAAAATTACTATAACATTTTACGATAAAATTTCACTGTCTTCCCCAGAACAGTGGATCAGTTAATTATTACCTACATAAATACTCTATCAGAAAAATATTTTTATTTTCCTTTCATGCTTATCGTTTAATCCAGACACTAGTTTTAAAGTTCAAGTGCACACACTTGCCCCACATAACTCTACTTGCTTAAGATTTTCTCTTATTTTTGGAAAATTTCAGGAGTAAGTACCTTAAAATTGTCGAATAAAATTACATAAAATAAATTTACAGATTTTAGACTTATACACCTATTGTGATATCTTACTTTAAGTGTAATAGGTCATCTTAAAGTGTTAGCTCAATGTCATTGTTGTTGACGTATAGATACACTAACAGTTATTGCTTTTGCTTTTTGATAACAGAGGTATAGCTTAGTATATCAGCACCCCTGGCACTTCAGTCGGTCCTGTGAATTTATCCGGGAACGCAGCTTCACAATTGCAGTAATTATCATTATTTATTTTTACAATTATTTTTTAAAAATCTTATTTGAGGTCTAAGTATTATAGCTTTGAAATAGCTTTCAGATTTTTGAAACATGAACGAGTACCAAGCACTAACTCCAGAGATTCAAGTTCCGAAGGAATGGACGGTGGATGGTATAAAGAACATAGTAGAATACTTGGTCCAGGATGCAATTAATTGTCATCGATCGGGAAAGAAGTTTGTCATGACTGTAGGAAACGTGCCGGCTATGATTAAGGACAACGGGACCAAGCCGGGGTATGTTTTCAAAAAGATAAAAGAAATGTAAGTATACTTATGCAATTTTTTAGTTTAATTAATTTTTTTTTTAACTAAAGGGCACTAAGAGAAGAATTTGCTTGATTTAAATTTGTAAATTTATTTAAAGTAACTTAAGAATACGGATTTAATATTAAAAAATTTGGTTTATTTAAATATGGATTACTTTTAACCAAATCTATTTTGTTTTGGTTTATTTCATTTAATTCGCCTGTTTATTTAATTAAAATAACATTTTTTAATAGTTAACAAATCTCCTTTGAAATAAATCATAAGACGTTTGAGTGGGTACTTTTGCTATTTGAGTTATCCTAATTTTAATGCCTTTATCCAAAGCCTAACATAATTCACTAATTTAATATACATAGATAAATTTAAAATGAATTTAATAATGGAAAAAAACTATAAAAATCCAACTTTTAGCTAATTATTTTAGTCTATTATAAATTACCCTAATAGAAATTATATAAATAAAGCGATCCTCATTGCTTTGATGACCCTAAAAATATTTCAGGTATTATTTACTATATTACAAAGCATGATTTCTTTTCCAAAATTAAAATATCATATTTTATAGTTAAAAAATGTGATTTTACTGGAATATATGATTGTAAAGTATTAAAGAAAGATTTTTTAACTATAAACAAATAAATATTCCTTTTCAGAAAAAACGAAGACACTTGCAAAATTGATTTAATAATTCCGGCGAGAATTACTATATTAAAGCGTACAAATATCGGTCCTAATGACAAAAAAGAGGAGGCGGTGTAAATATTTCCAAACTATTATTAATTACATAGATTTAGATATGTATAACGTAAAAAAACATACTTTTAATATTGTTATTTTATTTTTTTTACTTCCAGAGAATATCTACCGATGAATCTTAAATTTGATCATCCAATTGCAAAATTTGTTTCTACAAACCCTGATCGTCACACAGTTATGACAATTGTTCCAGACGTTGAAAAGTAAGCATTTTACTAATTATTTTCATCTTTTAATAACATAAAACCGCATTTACCTTGAAATATTTTCACAGGATTTTATTATTGAAAGGCATCGTAGGTTCAGAAAAGTACAATTATACCTTAAGAACGACATATAGAGTTCACAACATCAAGTGGCTCGATGATACTATGTGAGTATGGCCCATCTCTCAAGTAGAAACATCACCTTTATTTAATTAAAATTCTTATACCTAAAATTATTTATTATATTAAACTTCAATAAGTTACTTAAATTATTTTTAGTTAAATATCGACTCAGTAGTCATCTTGATTAACTTGAAACACAGAAAACAGAAAAAATAATTCGGACAGCCCGGCCCGGGAATCGAACCCGGTTTCTTTTGGTTGCGCACCAAGGGCACTTCCAGTTAAGCTATCTGAGACATCCTCCGTAATAATCTTTCAGTCTAATAATTTTTTATTTAACACATTAGAAAAATATTTATTAAAATATTATCGATATAATTATTTATCAATACTTAAATTAATGCATAGAATAACTTAAAAAAAAAAAAGTTTCGAAAACTGTATTTTTATACTTGTGACGTTATAATTCAGCTAACTATCCACTTTTCTCTTAGTATATAAGCTTGGTAAAACGGAAAAAGTTTAATCTTCTCCAATAATTTGATTTTTTCAGGTCTGACATGGAAACGGGCGAGTCTACCGCAGAATCTTTCATAGTTAATGCACACCAGATTTCGAAAAATAAATGGGACATTGTGGGTTATAACCGTCCGCCGCAACCTCAGTAAGTTATTGCATTTTTTAACGCTTCTCACTATAAATTCTTAGTCAAATTTTGCAGTTTGTGCAACTGGCATTGACCATAAGTACCTCGGTTATTTTTCAGTTCATTTTTTTCGCTAATTACTTGCTTTAGTTAGAAAGTTTCTAAATCTAAATTTTATCTTATTAATAAAATCGATTATTAATAAAATTATTAATGGACCTGGCATTTATTATCAATAAATAATTAAATAAATAAAGTTTTTTAGAGGTTAAAGTCGAAGTTTTGGTCCACGGAATTTTACAACCTACTATTGTAATTCAACCCAATAATTATTGTATTAAATTTTACAATTAAATTTTACAATAGTTCAATTGGAATATTTTGCAATTAATGTGAGTGATGGCCGTGCACAGCGCTAGACTCAGAGTTTATGTAAATATTAAAGGACATTGATAGTAGTTTATCTCGGATAGCGTAGAGAGAGAGTCGTCTAGCTACCAACTAAACAGTTCTGGGTTCGATTCCCGGATAGGACGAAAATTCCGATTTGTTTTTTCGGTTCCTGTAAAGGTACCAATTAGTCCAACCTCTTATCTCTCTTTCTCCCTAAAATTTCTTTTAAACTAACGGACTGTGAATTTTTACAATAGTTGAATTGTAAAGTTCTCAAACACATATTGTATAATTAGCTCTATAGTATTCGACTTTTTAAGTCTCTTACTAATCTTGTTTGTTGGATAAAATTTACAATAGTAGATCGTAAAAATTACTAAATGAGAAGTATAGTCTACCTTTACTATTTTTATTTAATAAAAATTACGATAGTAAAATAATAAAAATTCCTTCAATTTTCTTTCCGTGCACGGAGAAAATTTTATAGTAGAGTTTATTATCTAGTTATGTTAAAATCTATTAATTGAATTCAATAGTAATAAATATTATTTAAATAATTAAGTAAACCATCTGAATTGTAGCATTTACCATCCTGATGGTAACTACTACTATTATCATGGTAATCAGTAATAATAACTGTTATTATTTTAATTAGTTACTACTATTATCAAAATCGTAATTCCTAATATAACCTCATGGTTGCAGTTACCATCAGTAATAATAATAACTACTATCTGAGCTAGTAAAAAATATTTAAAAAATTAAGAATCTGCGTTACTGTGGATGCATTTCTGAATAAACTAAAAGCAGCTGTAGTGCAGTGTAGTACACAAAAAATCCGGATTAAATTCGGATAGAATTTATATTTAAATTTTTATTTGTCTAAAACAAGTTTCAACGGGAAATTTTTCAAAAAAATTTGAAATTTCCAAAAAAATCAAAATTTTAAATAAAATTTAAATTAAAAAAAAAAATTTTTATTTAAAAAAAAAATTTTTAAATCTTGAAAAAAATGAAATTTTCAAAAAAAATTTTAGAAGGGAATTTAAAATATTTTAATATTTCAAAGAAAAAAATGTACATTAGCTAAAATATGAATGTAAATAAAGGATTTAATTAAGTAAACTTATATTATTTTTTTCCAGAATTTTTTATACGATCTGAGATGATTACAATTACCATCTTCGATTGTAACAGTTATAATTTATAATAATTACAATATTTAAAATATTTTAATATTTCAAAGAAAAAAAATGTACATTAGCTAAAATATGAATGTAAATAAAGGATTTAATTAAGTAAACTTATATTATTTTTTTTCAGAATTTTTTATACGATCTGAGATGATTACAATTACCATCTTCGATTGTAACAGTTATAATTTATAATAATTACAATTATTATTTTAGATAGTAATCATTAGCATTATTAATAGTAACTATTACAATTGTCAATGATATTACCTATTATTTTGTTACTAATTAATTTTATTACCATTTTAGATAGTAGGAGTTACTATTTTCATATAGTAGGTAGTATAATTAATTTTTCTCCGTGATGTAGTTTAAATAGTATACTTTTGTTACAGGCGATTCTGGTACAGCTTGGAGGTAGCATTCCCTTGGATTCTTTGTTCAGTAGTTTTACTTCTCTTTGCGTTTATGATTTATGTTTGGATCTTCATTATTCAGAATATGTCATTGATGTACGATATTGATAGAGCATTTAAAATTTAATTATTAAATAAATTAATGTGAACCCATAAAATCTGTAAATTAATACTGATTTTATATATTAGAATTAAGACGGTGTTTATTTTTAGTATAAGGTATGTTTATCTATTTTTTAATAAATGGGTTCAATTTAAATGAGTCTGTAATTGTAATCTCCTTAATATGTAGTCATTCGGTATATGCAAAAAAAAAATTAGAGACCTATGACTAACTGAGTAATGTTCCGGGTTTTTGAGAAAAACAAATAAAACACTATTATTATCCATTCAGAGAACTCATTTTCAATTCTTGAGTAAAAAAATTTTTGCGATTGAGAAAAACCCGAAGTTCAATGTCATGAATATTAATTTATAGGGCAAGTAGGCATGTTGCCAAATAAGCGCGGCATTCTTATATATAGACATTCTTTCAGGGAAATAGCGATAAATATATGCTTGTTATTAACAAAATAGATGACAAACTTCATAATCAAACTTATTCAAGCGTTTTAATTATTATTTAGAGTATTAGTATTATCAGTGAATAATAGGCCAGCAGAAACTTCGTGTTATTTATTTCTTATCAAATTAGTGTGTTCTAGTACCTTACGTGTGATTATTATTATACCGATAACAAAATAACGCTCTTAATGCACTTTTCTATACCAATTTTATTAATACCGCACTGCAAAACTATTGCACTGAGATAAAAGTAGATAGTTGGGTTAATTATAACGTAATAGGTATATAAATACAGTTTTTGAAACTTTTTTGTAGTTACTCTATGCATTAATTTAAGTATCGATAAATAATTATATCGACTAATATATTTTAGGTATTATTTATACCTAAATGTTTTTCTGTTATCGTGTTAAACAAAAAATAATTATCTTAATGCTTTAAGATCCTTGTAATAATATAATTAATTCTGTTGTTAGCTGATTTTTTAGCTCATTTCAATTAATTACGACCAAATGTTTCACCATAAATCATGATACAGTATAAAATATGTCAAGAGATGATTTAATATTAAGTTGACAATGCAAAGATTAAATTGTAAGTATTAATTTTATGCTTGTATTTGTAGATAGCCTGAGTAAGTGCAAAGAAAGTGCACGAAACGTCGCTAAATAATAAAATTTCTTAGCGTTTATATTATATTAAGATCCTACATCTTCTCATCTTTAATTATAAAAAATTATTAGACTGATAGGTTGTTACAGACAAAGTCTCAGATAGCCTAACGGGAAGAGTCCTTAGTGCGCAACCAAACGAAACCGGGTTCGATTCCCGGCCCAGGCTATTTAAATTAATTTTTCTATTTTTTATGTTGAAGATAATCAAAATGACTATTAAACCCTCTAACTAAAAATATTTTAAGTAACTTATTGGGGTTCAATATAATTTATAATTTTAGGTATAAGAATTTCAATTAAATAGTAGTGATGTTATTTAAATAGATTAGTATACGTTGCGCGCGCAAGCGCGCAACTGAATGTTAGTATAGAATTATATATATTTTCATGCTTATGATATATTTGACCAATCACGTTACAAATATTTTATTTCCTTCATATTTTTCATCTAAATTATACTTGTGGATTTTTTTTAGTTCAAAGAACCAGATTTTTTTTTTAATGTTTTTATTCTAGTTTTATCTCTTAGTATACAAAATAGATTTGTTCAAAATTTTAATTCGAATTTTAAAAAGCTGTAGATTTTTTTTTTAATATATATATATATATATATATATATATATATATATATATATATATACTCCCCCTTTACATTACTATAATAAAAATAAATAATTTAAAAAAATTTTTTTAACAATTTTTAAATTATCAATATGTTAAAAAATTTTTTTCAAGATAACATTTGTCACTAAATTAAAATGTATATTTATTTTAGCAATTATTTTGTATAAAAAAATAATTTATGAATAAATTATATCACTATTACAGTAAAAATTCGAATATCCGAAGCAGATACATTCAAATAAAAAGTAGTTAATTTATGAAATTTGTTATAATAATTCAAGTGATAAAAATAATTAATACTAAGTAGCAAAATAGTATTAACTAGTGTGATCTATCCGGATATACGGAAGCTTATAGATATAATAATTTTTTAATTTAATTAAAAAGATGTAATTGAAGCATATTAAATTAACTAAATTTCTTCACTATCAACCGACAGTCATGCAATTTCTTAGCATTCACACAATTAATTAAAATCCCGAAAGATGTCTCTAGTATGTCCAAGTTACCCGTTCTGGTGGACTTTGCTAATGATGTTACGCTAGATAAGATAAAAATTAGGTCGACAACAATAGATATTTTTTGTTAACCTTAATTAAGAAGCGGTTATATTTTTTTTTTTTATTATCAATAATAGGTTCGTGTCCTACTAATTGAATTTGATTCAATTTATTTTTAAGTGAAATCTAAATTTTTTTTAATATTCAGTGAGCTTTATTAATTAATAATATATTTTTTTAATATTAGATAATTTAATAAATTATATTGAACCCCAATAAGTTACTAAAACTATTTTTAATTAAATAAAAGCTTAATAGTCATCTTGATTAACTTCAATATAAAAAACAGAAAAATTAATTTAAATAGCCCGAGCCGGGAATCGAACCCGGTTTCATTTGGTTGCGCACTAAAGGCGCTTCCCGTTAAGCTATCTGAGACTTCGTTCGTAACAACCTATCAGTCTAATAATTTTTTATAATTAAAGATGAGAAGATGTAGGATCTTAATATAATATAAACGCTAAGAAATTTTATTATTTAGCGACGTTTCATGCACTTTCTTTGCACTTACTCAGGCTGTCTACAGATACAAACATAAAATTAATGCACACAATTTAATGACATGTAAATATGTACCAAGTTACAATAATAAACATACCATAATACATATCTTAGCATCGTCAATAATTAGTCAAACTTAATTAAAATTAATTAATATATTTTAAACGTTCAATACGTTAAATCTACGACTTAAATTTTGACACGGATAATAATTTAAAATTTTTTGTCGGAGAATTAATAAGGTCTAAAATTATAGCGAGTATGTTTGTCTGTTTGAAATAGAAACCGCAAATTTAAAAAGAATAATAAAATATATTCATAAATAGATACTTCGAGATGAACTTTCCTCCATTATCTCGAGACTGAGAACAATGAAATGAAATATACATTATATTATTAATATCTTGTGACTTATGACAGAGTAACCTATCGACCTCAACATTTTTAGATTTAAATATACAACAACACTGGATCTTTAAGACGGAAGTAACTTTATATTTAAATAATAAATGTGTCAAAATTATTATTATTTAAAATTAAATTATACTAATCACAATTTAAGATAAATTATTTTTTTTAGCGATGTTTTGATTTTAATATTTAAATATTTTTGCGATAATAGGAAGCTAAAATATTGTGCAAGCTATATTATTACACGTGGTCTTGATAGACAAAATAAACATATGATACTGAGAAATAAAATTTTATTTTGCAAAATTATATAAAAAAAAATAGCTGTAAACTTTTTTAAAGTTTCAATTTTAATTATTGCTAAAAAATTTTCAATTTTATTGACGATTTTTTAATTAGATTCAATTTTTAGACATTAATTTAATAGAAAAATCAATTTATCAAAAAAAGAATTTTTTATTAGATCATATTTGGATTGAAAAATAATATTTTTTTTGACGAGTTAAAAATTACTTTATTTAAAAAAAATAATGATTTATTTATTTTACTTGAAAATTATTTAATGTATATAATTCAAAATATATATGTATACAATGATCTCTGACATATGCTATGTCATGTATTTAATATCGCATTGGTATATCAGTATCTTTATTTAATCTTGACCTCACAATGTTTTGCTCTTGCAAATTTTTACTTCTTGAATTTTTCTTCTACATTTTTAGACGGAGATATATGCACTGAAAAGTGCATAGTTAGCTGAATTATAACGTCACAAGTATTAAAATATATAGTATATATATAATATATGCCTGAGTAAAAGCAAAAAAAGTGCACGAAACGTCGCTAAATAATCAAATTTCTTACCGTTTATATTATATTAATATCCTACATCTTCTCATCTTTAATTATAAAAAATTATTAGACTGAAAGGTTGTTACGGACGAAGTCTCAGATAGCTTAACGGGAAGCGCCTTTAGTGCGCAACCAAACGAAACCGGGTTCGATTCCCGGCCCGGGCTATTTAAATTAATTTTTCTGTTTTTTATGTTGAAGTTAATCAAGATGACTATTAAGCTTGTATTTAATTAAAAATAGTTTTTGTAACTTATTGGGGTTCAATATAATTTATAATTTTAGATATAAGAACTTTAATTAAATAGTTGTTATGTTATTTAACTATATAGATTTTTTTTTTAATGTATAATATTTTAGTTTCACCTCTTAGGATACAAAATAGATTTGTTCAAAATTTTAATTCTAATTTTAAAAAGCTATTGATTTTTTTTTCAATATATATATACATATTTTATTAAAATAAATTTCTCTTATAATTTTTTCTTAATTAAGACTAATAAAAAATGCGCAATTTTAAAATAAAAATTTTTACAAGAGAAAATTTGAGTCATTCATTATTAATAATTTAAATTAAGAAATTACGGTGAAATTTAAATATTTTCTTAACAAAAAAAAAGAACAATTTTAAAGAAAACCAACAACTATTTTATTCAAATTTTTTATAAAAAAAAATTTATTAAATAAAAAAATATATTTTTCTCAAAAATTATTTTTTTTAATGTTTTAAAAATTTAATTTTTAACTTTTATTCTTAAAACTTACAAAGTATTGAACTATTAAATACAATATCTTGAACTTATATAATATATATCACCATTTTTTACAAAGATAATAATTATTTTGTTGACTGGTAAGATTATTATTTAAATAATTTCAATTAAAATAGTTTCCACTTATTATATTCTCACTCAATACAAATACTTGGCCTTTATCTAAATATTGTAATCCTTGTAATGTTGTTTATTAAGATTTAACGCTAAAAGATAAAAGTTATTAATCAATAATAATTATTCTATTAGGAAATAATTTTATTATCACTTTTTCGCACAAGTTTTAAACACTAAAATTTCATTTATTTATTATATCTTTAATCACTAAAGATTGCATTCCCCTTTTATTGTATTTATTATTTTTTCGTAATATTTATTGATAAATTAGTAAATTATTCCTTCAATTAAAAAATACAAAATTTCAAATAATTTATTTGACTATTATTAATATTTTTAAAAATGTTTCAAATTTTTAAATTGTTGCATCAGAAATTGTTGCGTTAGATCTTCGATATCGCGCTTCAACATTAAATTACGATAAAAGTCGATTTTACCCGAATGTGCACGTGTCTGATATTGAAAATTTTTTTTTTTTAATTAATTTTTGTTACAATTATTATTATTAAAAATAGTTACTTAAAAATTAAAAATTTTTAACATTATTATTGATTTAAAAAAATTTTTTATTGAAAAATTTTTAATGATTTAATTTATTAAAAATTATCAAATGTTTGCTACTTTTAGTACAATTAATTAACGTACAATTAGATAAATAGATATATTTTATTTGTCCTTAGAGCCGAAGCTTCCTCAAGGCCATCAATAAGCAATACATTTTTATACATATTATATACAAGTATACAGTATTAAAATACAATTACAATAGTTCTATAATTTTGAGAGCAAGATTTTAAAGTTACCTAATACAATAAAGTTACTTAATACAGTAGCTAATTAGTAAATTCATAAACACTCTGAAAATACTTTGAAAGCAAAAATTATAATTATCTAAACAAATATAATGATGATTTTAATTGTCATCAGCCAGAAAAAATGAAAAAAAGGCATTATGAAATTCAGGAAGACTATCTGCAGTTGTCAACCCAGGTGGCAACGAGTTCCAGATACGTATGCCATGGATTATAAAAGATTGCTCATACATATTGCTATTTGCTCTTGACAAATAATAATGAAATATAAAGAAAATAAAAGTTAGATTATGAAAATAATTTTCTAAAATAAATAATTATCAAACTTTAGCGTGATTACTATGAACAGTACCATTGTAAAATCTAATCATGCTCATAACTTTAATTACTTTACAATTTACTTCCTTAAAACTCAAAATAACTGCTATAAAAAATGTAACGGCATTATAAAATAAAAATATAAAATATAAAAAACGTTAAAAAAATTAAAATAAAAAAGAACTAATGAATCAGATTCAGTGATTATCGATACAATAGATAAAAAGGTTTCTTTTTTCAATGTCAGCGCGCTAATCGACTCATTCATAGCCGTAAACGTTTTAATAAAAAAAAATAATGGCAATAATAAGTAATTAATGCAGAAAATCTAATTACAAGAAAATATGTGAGAAGTTTTATCTTTAATTTACAATAGAAGACCTTCGGATGGTTATTTTAAAATTTTTAATTCGTGCAATAAATCCTATTAAATAAGATAAATCCGTTGGTTTTCGTCTTATCAGTAAATACACTCAACAAAAGTAACATTTAATTCACTAAAATATTCAATTACACATACATCCGTTTTTTATAAGCCTATTTCATGTTTATACTTGACCTACGGATCGTAATAAATCCAAACAAAAATAATTAGGCAATAAGATTGACAGATGACGGACACAGCCTGTACTGATTAATACGATCCTCGAAATAAAATTAAATCTTCTTTATTAAGTCTGTTAGTGAGTGATTTCTGGTGTAGGACTGTATATAATATCTATATAAGTAATATCCGATTGTTGGATTCAACATCCTCTGTCCTCGGAGCATGATGACCGAGTATATAAAGAGACCTGGACGTGGTTCAGCTTCATTCACGGTCGTTCCGTTCTCCAAGCCAGTGACTCGGGTTCTCCAAACCGTGTAAGTATTTTATTAATTTACGTACGTATATTTTTATATTTCTCTATATGTAAAAGTTTATTCGCGTAATTATTATTATAGTTGATTATATTACAGCTTGATACATTCATTAAAAATTACCTTCACCTCTATACACATTCTACCAATTACTACATTGCATACGCAGTGTATTATTAACACTTGATTATTGCTTACTAGTTAAATTTTATTTTCCAAAGATGTTATTAAGTTTTTTTTTGAATAATTTAGTTATACAATAAATTTTTCAATGTATTTAAAATAAATTTTTGCTAGAAAAATCTATTACAAAAAATGTAAATAAATAAATGCACATATTACATTTTCTTCCGTAATCGCAATGCAAATTTAAAAACAGAGAAAGCGTCCTGGATTGAGAGTGTCACATAAAATGTTACAATGCTTGCCAAACTCCTCTCTCTAAATAATAACAACATTTATCGATTAATAACAACACGTTTACCGATATGTAAAATAATAACATTAAAATTGATATAATAAATCAATAATTCCTGATTATAATAATTGTTTAAGTTAATGTGATAAAAATAACAATAACAATTATGTAAATAGCAAGCGCGGATATTATAAAACTCGTGATTTCATGATTCATGATAGATTCTATGGTGAATGAGAATAATGTATAAAAGGCAAAAAAATAAACGTATAAATTTAAACCAGTGAGTATAGAAACAGAGATACAGAGGTGTGGCAGGACGATAAGCAGACACTAACAATATAATAATGAACAATGAGTATCATGAACTCATTCTATTACAATTGATCAGGGTACTTTAAAAACGCGGAAAAATTTTTCAATTCCGCAGGGTGTGTCAGTCGATTGATTGTCAAACATCAAAAGGCTTAATTTATTCATTAATATCTTTATCAAGAATTTTTTATTCGTTTAACGGAAACGTTTTTCTAATTAATGATTTTTTTTCTTACAGAAATATGTGGTATTTGATTTTATTACTGAGTTTGTCGGTGGTTACATGCGACCCGTTCAAAACAGTATTCTCATGGAAACAAGTAGACTACAATTTTCCAAATGAAACGACGCGTAATGCTTACAAAACCTCTGGAGATTATATCAAAGAACATGTCGTCCCACTGGGATTAAATGTATGGGGTGACAAGCTTTTTATCACAGTACCGAGATGGAAGAAAGGAGTACCAGCTAATTTGAATTACGTCAGCTTGAATAATGGTAATGGCCTATCGCAATAAACAGCAAATAGTGATCCGCCATAATAATAAGAACTAATCTTAGCTTAGTATCTCTGACACGAATTTTATTCATTTAATTTAAAAATATTTATTTTTTATTTTAAGCAGACAATAAATCACCGTTGCTCAATCCTTATCCTGATTGGGAGTCTAATGACATCCATTCACCAGATGCACTGGTAAATATTCTCAGGGTCAGAATTGATGCTTGTGATAGATTATGGGCCGTTGATAGTGGAATCGACGATATTCTCGGTGAATTTAATGCTGTCCAGCCCAAAAAACTTATCGCCATCGACTTGAAAACCAATAAGGTAGTTTATATAATCTGATGGAATTCATTCGATTGATTGAATTGATTTATATCAACTGTTTTTTTATTATAGATCATTTTGCGATACACGTTCAAAGACTCTGACCTAAAACCCAACACATTTTTTGCTGACACCGTTATCGACGTTGATCCCAAAAACTGCAGCGACGCGTATGTTTACAATTCTGACTTGGGAGGCTACGGGCTTGTTGTCTACAGCATGGCCAAAAATGATTCTTGGAGAATAAATCACAACTACTTTTACTTTGATCCTCTCAATGGTAAAAACCCAGAATCTTTTTTTAAAATAAAAAAAAAAAAAACACTAACGAGAGCTAATAAATACGTTTGCGTGAACTCTATTTAGGTGAATACAATGTCAGTGGTATTCATTTTCAATGGACCGACGGTATGTTTGGTATGGCCTTGAGTCCGCCAAAAGAAGATGGCTCAAAAACACTCTACTTCCATCCAATGTCTGGAATTCACGAGTTCGCGGTGTCGACAAGCCTTATCAAGAATCAAACTGCCCTGGCTGATCCAAAATACTGGACCCAGTTCCACGTTGTAGGTAACAAAGGTCCACTCACTCAAGGAACTTCTTCAATGTACGACTTGGAAACTGGAATTATTTACTTCACCCAATTGAACAAAAATGCTGTGGCTTGCTGGGATACTAAAATGGACTTAAATCCTGATAATTTCAGTAATTATTTATTTATTATTATTCGGTAGATTAAAGCTGTTGATTGAAATGACAAGTGACCTTTGTACTAATTTGATGAATTATTTTCACAGGAATTGTAGCACAGGATAACGAGAAATTGGTTTTCCCGAATGACATAATAATTGAACCGAAAACACGGAAATTCTATTGCCTGTCCGATAATTTGCCCGTGCTTCAATACAGCGAGTACGACGTAAATCAAACTAATTTCTACATTCATGTCGCTTCGCTTGATGATTTGACAACCGCCTGCAGGGCCAAAGCTGAATAATTGCGGTTTTTTTTTAAAGCCACTGTGAATTAATATTAACTTTAAAATAATATTAAATAAATCTTTTAAGAGAAGATGCAATAATTATTGTATTTACTGATGACTGTATTATTTTTTCCATGAATTTTTTAATAGAATTACTTTTAAATAAATCAAGTGGGAAATAAAAGTTCATTATAAAATATCCAGCTAGAGTATTTAATTATAAATGAATTATTGTATTGTTAATGGATGGACAGTTGATTTATTCAACAATTTAAATCCTCATTAAAATTATTTATGTAATCAAAGGCGGAAATTAATAATAATAAACGAAAAGACATTATTGATGATTTTAATTAGAAGCTTCTGTATTGTTTTTATTTTCTAAAGTCAAGGATTTTTGGTGAAATTTAATTCACTTTGTTTTTTGTCGCAAGAATGAAGACACTTCAAGAAAGTATCAAGCAATAGGATACTTCTAGCTTTTGTAGCGTGGAATCTACTTCAATTACAGTCAGCATTACGAGAATAGATACGGGTCGAGGTAATAATGGGAGATTTATCGACTTTTTAGTAGTTACTTACGTTGAAATTGAAATAAAAAAAGAAATAGGGGAAATAAAAAAATTTGACAATCATGTGGGTTGAATTGTACACCAAGATACTGTTGCCTCTTATATAACGCAAATACGATTGGTATATAATTATGATTATTATCTTCTAAGACTTTTTTCAACAATACTGTGCTAGAAATAACAGACATAAGACAATTTTTTTGTTTTTATAAACAGTAGTCATTATAAATCAAATATTCTTAAAAATTTTTATATAATAATCTCTATTCAAAAGTAGAAGATATCTAAAACTTTGCTTGTAAATATAATTTATTAAATTTTTAAATAAATAAATTATTATTGAAATAATATTTAAAAAATTTCAATTATAATTCAAATAATTTGAAGTTAAAAAAAAGTTATTTTTAGTGAAAAAAAATAAGCAAATGTAATTTTTTAATATTTTCATAAAAATTAATTTATAAAAAATTAAATATCAATATTTTTTTATAAATGTATTTTTAATTATAAATTAATTAAAACACTAAACAGTTGTCTGATGTCTGTTACTTTTAATACAGTAAGCCATGCTCAAACATCAATATCAAACTTTCAAATTCAAATTAACTCACTTTTCCCGCCTTTTGCTCCAATAGCTGTTGGGCTCTTCGCTCCTACGAACTTCCTGTGTTAATGACAGAAATCTGGTATCCAAACTTCCTTAAATAAATAAATAAGACAATTATTTAATAAATTCATTAAAATTAAAAATTAATTATTTTATAAATACCTATTAAATCATTGTTTGTTGATAAATAACACTCAACACCCCGCACAATGTCAATGAAGCGTTCTAATTTAACAAAATACTAACTCAATATTAATTAACAACTCGTAAATATTATTACAAAATGACTACGAATTTCTATATAATCAATTAAACTCAATTTTTAATTAATAAACTTATTATTTATGTAATTTAATACTCGTAAACATTAAAGAACGCGGTTTGAGTCACTCAATGGCCGGTTGGAAATTATTTGGGTTCTGCGCACGTCACTTGCGCATGGTCTGATCACAGGGCACTGCGACATCAGCGACGTTGTCGCACTCCGGCTTCATTCTCCCGCCAACCAAGTGACGCAGCTTTTCGGACTCGCGATTAAATTAGATAAATAATTATTTTTAAGTCAGTATTTAATAAAAATAATTATAGGTACTTACTCCCTAATATATAGGAAACAATTTGAGATAATTATTTAATAAACGTCAATATTTAAGAAAGTACAGTGCAATTTCCAAAAGTCATTATTTAATAAATATAAAACATATGTTATATACCAAATTTATTCAAAAAAATTGTATTTTTAATTTTTTATATCAACTTTTTTTTATAATTCGAATTATTAAAAAAAAAATAATCAACTAACTACTTACTTCTATCATCAAATAATTGGCGGGAAAAAAGTCACGTGACCCAGTCGTGTTTCCGAAAGCGCCCGAAGCGGAGGGAGTCGGTAAGTAGTCCGAGGTTATAAATAGCTGGCATAAGCTGGCAGCGAGTCTCTTACATCTAAAACGTTGGCACAGTGAATTCATTGGTGAATACTTTGTTAGCCTTGTCGGTGGGTCAAATAGTGTCTCGCTCATTATCAGTTAACTTAAAGTTTAAATTAATAAACAGACATAAATTAAAGTGTTTAACATTATTAACAAAAAAAATAAATAATTTAATAATTCAAAAAAATTTACCAAGTGCTGACAGTAATAACGTGTATAATTTAAATTACAAGAGTAACTTTTTATTAAATCCAACTCGACTCGTGTTACTTGCTAGAAAAGGCAACGATAAAATAACAAAAATGCCGGAAACTACACCATCACATCATGTCAATGGATATGCCAATGGACACGCTCCACCAGAGCTACAACAAGCTGGCTCTTTTTTATTCACATCCGAGTCTGTTGGAGAAGGACATCCTGGTAAGTTAATATTATTATTTATTTCATCATCTTTTTACTCGCTAGTATTATATCCCCCTAATTTTTTGGGTACGCCATCATTACATCCTCGTGCCGCCATCGCGTCTAATCTCCTGCGCATGCTTTTCTTATTAAGTTAACTACTTTTATTTTTATTCTAAATTCAGATTCTAATTTTAATTCTCCATTTTATTTACACTTTTTTTATTTTATTTTTTTTTTGTTTAATTTTTTTTTTTATTTATTTTATTAATTCCACGTGGTTAGAAAAAATTATTTTTTTTCCGGTCGCTGATCACCGCCATGTGCTCGCTACTTCCGGTCTAACTGATAAAAAATGAAATGTTGAATAAATTTTGATTTTTTTTTTGCAGATAAAATGTGCGATCAAATTAGTGACGCTATTCTCGACGCACATTTGAGACAAGATCCAGACGCTAAAGTTGCCTGTGGTAAGTTTTTTTTTATAATGAATTTTAATAAAATAAAAAAATTGATATTAGAAACTAGCAATTGTTGCAGTCACTGCGTGACTGCAACAATTGCAAATTTTGCTTTATTAAATGACAAATTGGAGTGTACTTTCTTAAATATTGACAATTTTAAAGATATAAGCTCATCTTGATGTTACGCTCATCGAGAGCTTTCATTTGAGTACCCACATGCATTTTTTATATATTTTTCATATATTCATATATATATAATATATATAAATATGTTAAATATATGGAAAATTAATGTGGGTACTCAAATGAAAGGTCTCGATAAATGTAATGTAAAGATGAGCTTATATCTTTAATAATGTTGAAAATTCACAAGATAGCAATGTCAGTTCTTAATTATTGACATTTTTAAAAATATAAGCTCATCTTGATGTTACGCTCATCGAGAGCTTTCATTTGAGTACTCACATGCATTTTTGATATATTTTTCATATATATACATATATATAAATATGGAAAATTGATGTGGGTACTCAAATGATAGGTCTCGATAAATGCAATGTAAAGATAAGCTTATATCTTTAAAAATGTTAATAGTTCACAAGATAGCAATGTCAGTTCTTCATTGTTGACATTTTTAAAGATATAAGCTCATTTTGTGGTTACGCTCATCAAGAGCTTTCGTTTGAGTACCTACATGCATTTCTGATATATTTTTCATATATTAATATATATAATATATATAAATATATAAAATATATGAAAAATTGATGTGGGTACTCAAATGAAAGGTCTCGATGAGTGTAATGTCGGAATGGGTTTATATCTGTAAAAATGTAAATAGTTCACGAGATACAAAGTCATTTCTTAATTATCGACATTTCTAAATGTATAAGCTCATCCTGATGTTACACTCATCAAGAGCTTTCATTTAAGTACCCACATGTATTTTTTATATATTATTTATATTTACATATATATAAATATATAAATATATGAAAAATTGATATGAGTACTCAAATGAAAGGTCTTGATGAGTGTATTATCGGGGTGAGCTTATATCTTTAAAAATGTCAATAATGAAGAACTGACATTGCTATCTTGTGAACTATCAACATTTTTAAAGATATAAGCTCACCCCGACATTACACTCATCGAGACCTTTCATTTAAGTACCCACATCAATTTTTCATATATTATATAT